ACTGGACATATTTTCCAATCATCTGAATCTGAAAACATGTATGAAATACCCGTGGCAATGTACACTTGAATGGAAGCCCATGTGTTTCCATGCAAATGTAGTGGTTCTGATAGCCAAACTACTAAATCATACATATATTGTGCAAGTCTTCTAGAAGAAAATGAACTTTTTCTTTGGAACACCGGAATAACGAAATGCATTGTTATCTGTAAGAGTGTCTGTTGTGCATTGGCTTGGAAAATTATCAGTGTTACGCAAACTGCTAATAACACTTGTGTTTCACAGCAGCTTCTCTCCGACTGCGATGTACACAGAGTGATTACATGCTACAGCATAATACTCCAAATGCCCCCATTACTTTATTTTGCAAGGTCTATCTTAGTTTTCCTTGCCAACCAGTGCCTCTATTAGTTTCTCCAATGATCCTTGAAGCAGCCAGAGAATTACTTGAAACAAGTACATGTAGCTCTGGTTTGCCAGAGGAGTTTGCAACTAGAGTGAATGGGGAAAATGCAGTTCCACCCAAATCCCCTTTTACGTATAAAAATACAATAAAACTATCAGAGGTGACCAACTGCATCTCGTTTCCCCTCTTCCCTGTAGGTGGAGCAGTATGTTGGTGAAATTAAAGGCGGACTGAGACCTGCCATGAGACTCACTGTCATAGGAATGGTACCTTCCAACCCCAAGAGGTAGGTAAAGAGGCTGATGGAGAAGTCATCCATGTCATATACTCTTATCTGTATTAAATTCAAAAGATTTTTTTTGTGTCTTTGGAAGGAAGGAAGTAATACAGATTCACAGTTTATATCTCTGTTTAATTTTCCTGCCCCTAGGTTGAGATGAGAAAGTGGAGCAACAATTCACTGTTAGAACTTTCTGACTGCTCTACCACCATTTTCTACTCCTTGCCTTTATCTAACATGAACTAGAGGGGGTGAACAAATGACATTTCTCTCCTAGGAACAGGTTCAACACAGGACCCGTATCTAGTCTGTCTGCTGGCGTCTGAAATCAAAACCACTTGAAAAATAGCAGTTTTGGCACAGGGAGTGAATGTGCATTGCTTTGTTTAATCTAGATGACAGCAACTATGCTATCATTACTTTTTTTTTTTTTTTTTTCATATTTGGCAATCAATTCCAGCACTTCTACTGGGGAAGTGTTGGAATTCAGTCATTCACCAATACTTGTTTTACTTCACTCACAAGAGACAGAAGACAAAATCAGAACTTATTATTGTCCTTCTAGAAACTGAAGGAGAAAGAAAGCATGGCCTACTCTCAGCCTTTTCTGCAGCTTCTAAGCCTGTGAGCAGTCTCTTTAGCAGTCCCATCTTTCAAGAATTAAACAGTTAATGTCTGCTGTGCTCCACACTCCCTTTTACACTGCCATTTAATTGTTTTCCAGCTTTTCAGTGACTCTGCTCTGTGATCCAGTGGATGCAAACAAAGATGTTGGGATGATATTCACAGTTAACTTTAGCGAGAAGTCCATCACACGAAATGCACGAATTGATGGGAAGTGGGGGATAGAAGAGAAGAATATACCCTACTTCCCATTTATAGCAGGGGACACATTTAAGGTAATTTTGGGAGTACTATAAATAGGGTGGAGGGGAGAAGGGCTGAGAGCTGTATGACTAACTACTGAAATTGCTGGGTTAACAACACTGATATATTCTCATATGGCACAGAGCAACAGTTCAAGCCCTTGCAGGAGAGATTCATTTATTCCTCTAGTTCTACTGAAAGAGCTCTTTATAAAGAGTTTTACTGTATTATTTCAGCATAGAGTACATTATTTATTAGAGGCATTTCAGAGGAGCTGGTAGACTTTGTGCTTCACCATACCTATTACACAGGGGTTCTAAGTTCACACTGGTGAAATAAGCTCAGCTGCCAACCTCTAGCACCCTCCCCTGTCCTTTGCCATTGCAGATGGAGCTCTTATGTGAACATCAGCAAATAAAGGTCTTGCTAGATGGACGACAGCTCTGTGACTTCACTCACCGCATTCAGCCCCTGAACCTGGTGAAAGCTTTGCAGATCACAGGTGATGTCAAGCTTACCAAAGTGGCTTAAAAAAAAGAGTTCATAATATTACCAGGGGACGGAAACAAATGCACTTTCTTCTGTCTGAGAGATGTTTTATCTTTTTCTCCTCATTGATGTTGGAGAACGGGAACTGTCTTTTCTCATTTGCTGATGAAATACACTTTTTTTTTTCTCATCCGTGTTCAAAAATTGCAGAGATATGGCTGGTCCAGCTAAGTCAGAAGACCTATACTGAAATACTTTCTTGGTCTCCCAGATTAGAATACTATTGATGCTAGGCAGTGTCTCATATCCTCTTGGTTCCCTAACCCCTCAGGTAAGCCAGCTAATGGAGCCCAGTCTTTTGTGGCGGCTGTTAGTCTTGTTAGTGACTAGAATTGAGTGGCGGGCAAGCAGTGGGATTAAGAAAGGAGAAGTGGGAAATATCTTTGGAAGTCAATAAGAGAGTCTGGAGGCTCCCAACAAGGCTCATGTTATCAGAAGGGAACTGCTTGCTCAGGAATGTCCGATCAGTCAGCACAAATCTATATGTGTTTCACAGTACACAGTAGTAGATGCCTTAGCACCATCCCTATCTGTTGCAGGTAGAGTTCTCAGGAACTGAAAGGTTTCAACAGCTGTGGATTTCACAGCCTTCTCTGGACCAGCCCTATGTAATTGTATCTGTAGCTGAAACTGTGTCATCCATTTTTGCATATGATTAAAACTGTCTTTGCTAGCAAACTTCTTTACCAGCTTTTGTAAATATTTGAATGCATGCGTATGCTGTGCTGCTATTTCATTGCTGTAGGTTTAGAAAAGAATCCCAAATATATGGCTATTATAATAAATATACCAATAAGAAAGAGGTGGTTTTGTGGATAGAGACTTTGTGACTTTAGGGATGATCTATAGCGTTCTGTCTTTAGAGTGATTTAGTGACTCTGCGGAATCTGTCAGATACAGCTACTCAGATAGCAGAAATCTTATAAAAATAGCATATCAGCAGTTCGGTTGGATGTTTCAATCATCTCATATATTCAGTTCTACTCTGCCACTACGGACTGTTTCTCACTTTCCATAGTACTGTAAGTTTAAGGTCTATGAAACCATTGTTTTCACTTATTCCTACTGATCTCTGAGAAACATGGTATCTAAAGAGCACAAGAGAATCAAATGCACTGAACTTTTTTTTTGTGATGTATGTTTAATGATTCCAGAGCTAAGCTTGAGCAAGGTTTTATCACGGTGTATCAAGAAAGACAGACTCAGACACCAGGGTCTTTCATGACTGTGACTCAGTTCATTTACCTTGATTCAGTCTGTCTGAACTAGTTAAGTTTATAAGCCCCTTTATAAAGGAGAAAGGAGCAAGACATTTTTTGCTTTAGAATAAAGCACAGTCTGAATCTGTCACACGTAGACTGAATACTCAGACAAGAGATTCTTTTTCTTCCATCTTGAAAGATGTAAAGTCCTTGTAAAGTGTGATTTATTTGTAATCACTTGTTGTTCTTTGTCTCTTGGTTAGACCATAAATTCTTCCAGATCTGTGTGATCCTAGCCACCTGGGATTCTGATCTGTCAGGAATTGCCAGGTGCTATGACAACACACATAACAAAAATATAATGTCTAAGGAAAAAAAAACAAACAACCATCACTCCCAGAATGTCACAAATGTGACATTCTTTGGCATGGAGTCCATCTTATTCATGTGAGTGGTTTGATTGCCTCAATCCATTCTGTTCGCTCTGCCTTGGAGCTGGCCTGGATATAATAATGAATGTCTTTCTTGGTGATTATTTTGAAGAGGTTGCCTTGCACATTGCCCTTCACGCCTACAGAGAAAAAAAAAAAGTGACAGGTTAGGAAAGTGCACAGAGAACAGCTTTGCAGCAGGTGAAAATTCCTGATATGGAAGAATTTTAATTTAGCGAATTAAGGTGTCAGATCTCTCCATTTCATTACAGATAAGACAGCTAAGGCCATTCTGTCTCTTCTAAATCTGGATTCGAGCAGATCCAAATGAGAGGACATTAAAAAAAAAAAAAAAAAAGACAGCATCAGGGATTTTCTCAAGATTTTGAGTTCCGTAACATCCAAAAAGGCATTTCCTCTTTAGCTGTTAACTCTGGAATAATAATGCGTTCCTTGAGCTCTCTCATGCATCACCTCAATAAGAAAAGTTCATTAAAAAAGGAACACTCAAGATATGCAGAAACAATTAAAACTAAACCAAACCAAAGCAAACAACATCCCCTCTGCCCAGCCCAGCAGTGTGGGGACTCCTGATGGCACAGTTTCTCTCCCTTGCAAGGGGAGGAGAAAGGCTAGCCCGTGTTTGTACAGCCAGCCAAACAACAGACCACTCCCAGCGACTGTAATGCTATCACATAAGCACATATGTAGCAAAGTCTAGGGGCTCACTCTTTACCTGCTGGGACTCCATTGTCCTCCAGAGCGGAGACAAGACAGCCACGTAGAGAAAATCCACCTACTGGTCTGTTCTCTTCCTGATAATAATTAATCAAACAAACAAAAACACAAACAAAAACAAGCACAACACAAAGGAGGTGAGACTGAGCTGCAAAGTACCGTAATTAGAATCATTTCCCAGAGTACACCAATTATTTTATGGAGGTAGGGATGCAACACTGGTCTTTCTGGATATAAAATGTTCAAGTCACAAAAATCAGAACATGTAATTCGGTGCATTGCTATTTTGTTTCAGCCTCAGACATTTCTCTGCTACAGCTGAGAATGGTGGAGACTAATTTAAAAGCACTAAAGGCGGGTAAACAATCACATTTCAAACTTAGGCAGTTTTATCAGTAACAACCCATATTAAAACAAACAAAAAATATCTGCAAGTTTTTAGCTTGCAGCTTTTCACTGAGCTTGTATGGAAAAAAATCTGTTTTCCTTTGTAAGATGAAAGGATCTTATGCCTGAACTTCAGACTCTGCAGTCTGATTGTATAGCATTGTAAGGGCAAGTTGCAATGTAACCAAACAAATGAATGACAAGAAAAAAAAGCAACCAGAAGAAATAAAAAACACCCCCCCACACACATCAAAAGAACAGGGAGGGGGGGGGGGGGGGGGGGGGGAAAGGTGAACCAGATCCATAAAATCTAAAACTGTTACTCCATTTGTTTCCTTTATAAATCACATAGAACATTCCTGTACATGTTCATCTTAGTATTCTGATGGGCTTTGTGGTACCCTGTGTGACTGGGACTGATGGATCCACATGCCTTTCTAGCTCACTCTCTCTCTTCCATGTAACATGGATGTAACATCCATGAAGATAAAGTAATAAACTTTCCTATACCTTGAGCAAATTTAAATCTGAGTGGCAGAAATTCTTGTAAATACCTTGAGATCAAGGGAACCCTATTCAAGGATATAAAAAGAACAGAGAAAATCCCAGTGTTGCTCTCAAGTGATGGAATGCCAGTCCAAAAAGACTACAGCCCAGGAAGAATCCCTGCAGGAGCATTGTCACAGACTGTGTGTACAGCAAAAGAGTAACCCCAGGGTTGCTGCCCTACATCTAAGGAAAAGGAATCTCAATGGAGAAAAGGTAGGCAGGAGACGCAGGGACAGAGAATCATACAGGGGCAACTCCAAAGGTAAGGCCAGTGAGGCCTTATTCCTCAGGAAATCAACAGAAGAATCCAGGAGGAGATCTGGGAGAGAGAAATATTTACAACATAATTGTGTTGTATTTTCATTATGATATTTAGGTCTGCAAGAGGATTTCTGAGGGTATCAGCTCCCCGCTCACATACCTTGGTGGGGTCATAGTAGTGCAGGAAAGCAGGATCAGCTCTCAGAACAAATTTCCTCACCTTCCAGTTTTTCCTCTTGTGTCCCTACAAAATGGAAGAATTATTGTTACTGACAGGACATACAACCTGCAATGGCCATTTTCCTGCAGGCTGTTTGGGCAGCCTTAATAGGGTGCTGAAAAACAGATGTTTTGCAGCCAACAGAGAAAAAAGCTTTTTTGACATCTTAATAACTCCCAGGGTTTTCTGCTTAACCTCCTTCTTGCTCCTTATTCATATTCCTCTTTAATGTTTTCTTATTCCTTTCTTGTGCTGAGAATTGAGAAAGAAGAGTGAAAGGACCAAGAGATTACATAACAGCTCTGCTCTTAACTTCAAATTTGATGTGACTGTGCAGTGCAGGTGGGGATCCCTCTGTGGCTGGCTGTGTTCTGCCGTGAACCAGAGGGATTGGTCCTCATCTTGCTCACCTCTAAGTGTGGGATCACATAAGCAATTACCACGGACAGGTAATTGTGCCTGGAAAAAAAATAGGACTCACCCCCTCTAGAGCATCTGTGTGTCTGAGTGACTGCTCGTAAGTTAATGTCCACTTCATGCTAAAATCAAATTGCTCAGCTTTGGAATTCAGTCATGGTCCTCAGAATACTGTGGCTGCTTGGAAAATCCCCACAGGATGGGTTAAACCAGAGGAACAGTGAATCCACTTGGTGTGACTGTAACAGCTCTGGTGGAATTTGTGTGGGACTCTTGATTGTTGCTTTGTGCCTTTCAGTATATACTCAGCACGTACGGAATATCCAATTAATCCTGCCAGAGCAGCAAGTTCCATAACTTATATATTTATAACCAGATACTCTCCACTTCATGATGGTAGGCAAGATCCACTCTGCGGGACACAACTCCACGGCTGTGCTCCTGTAACATTCATTCTCCACTGAGCTGTACCAGCTGTCCTTTTTCTTGCTTCCAAGTGATAGTTCAAAGACTATATTTACCTGTTTCACTAAGTATCCTTGCTTCACAATTGTGCCACTTAATTCGGAGATGTTAAATTGTAGCTCTTCCTTGGAATTGAGCATTTTCTTACCAGTCTCAGCCTGCAAGCACAGAATAGATGGTTTCATGTTTGTTTTTCATCTAAATACACTCTTAAGTACAAGATTCTGCATTTTATCTACTTTTAGCTACTATTTCCCAAGCAAATTCTGCTCTACACCTTTTTTAATACCAAATTACTTGATTTGTAGATCTCTCTGTATCCCTGCAGTTGTTTGTTTCCAGCAAAAGTTCCAGTACTAAATGTCTGAAAGCCTGAAGTTTCTGCTTCTGTTTATTTTCACACCTGCATATTTTGCCTACGGGTGCATGCTGTGCACGTCCCCTTTACCGCTGCCTCAGATCAAGCACATGACAAAGGGCAGAGGAGCTGCCACTTGGCAGCCCATCACTTACAAACATGTACAGTGCGGTGGAGTCATCGAGGAACTGCTCAGAGAGGTCACTGTAGCGCGTGGCCCCGGTGCTGCGTGCCCCCACGGGCTTGGTGAAGTTCTCCTCCATCAGCATGGAGGCCAGGGTGACGGCCTCAAACCGAGACACAGCAAAGCTGTTGGAGATGAGCCAGTCCACCAGAGCGGAACCTGCGGGGAGAAAGGCAGCTCTCAGACCAAGGGAACACGCTCTTCCAAATGCAGATAAATGGTCTTCTGCCTTACAAGCCTTCCTTTGCTGAAACACTTCGGGATCGTCACAAAGGCTGTCAGGGAAGGGTAGGGGTGACAAAAGTGAGGGGTCCTCTGTGTGCTGTGCTTCCATATATCCAATGAGCAAGAGAAAAGAGATGTTGGACAATTCAGCTGCTTCAGTACCTTCAACTGGGCCATAACTGATCCCACCACGAAAGCAGTGCCATGTCTCCCTTGTCCCTGCAACATGTCAGAGGTGAGG